TTGTGCATTTTTCTCCAAGATCCTAAGCAATTGCCATGAGGATGGATGCAGTGTCACCTAAGCAAAAAAAAACCAAACCAAACAAAAAACCAAAAACAAACCCAAAACCAAACCCAAACCCTAAAACTAACTATTCCTGTTAGCCGAATTTTCAGATCCATATTACACTCACCCAAGATATATCAGTATCATTTCCCATGCTCAGTTTCCTAAATTACTATGCCACATCATTATTAACTTTCACCTCTTCATTCATTCTCAGTGTGAGAATAACAGCACATTATCAATTCTTGAAAATACAATTAATGTTCATTCCAGTGTACTAATGGACTTTAATCCTAATGTGTGAAGCTTTGTACCCAGCCCTCAAACAATGAAACTCTACCTTGATGACTAGGGAATAAAAGATCTATTATACTGGCACTTCTGCTTGAATAAAGGCTATGTCAGAAACTTTGGAGACACTGATGGTTGTTGGCATATTTAGAGGCTATTTAAAATAATAATCAGCAGCTCATAACAGCCAAGATGTATAAATGCATACAGGAATGTAATTGAATGCATGGGATCTGAAATGAAATTATGCTCAAGTCCAAAGTCTAGGGCACTTTATAAAGCATATTCCTTTGAGAGTCTATTGAGGGGGGAGTGCTGTGGGGCTGAACAGAAAGGAATGAACTCAAAATGCTTTCCCTCTCATTGCTGATCCATCTCATGGGAAGGCTCTTTGCTAGTCTGGTTTATTTAACCACCAACCAGGAAGAGCTCCACAACCCATAGTGCTGAGTGGGAGCAGAGGTGGAACCTCTTTGAGGTTCCTCATGTCAAGAACCTGCACCTGATGCCTGTCACTGTACCAGGAAGGCATTGCCAGGGGCAGAGCTTCCTGATTCATAGGAGTGGCTCCAATGGACATATTTCCTCTTTGATTTATAGTTGAAATAATGAAGTATTTCTTTGGAAAGGTGTAAATTTGCACTGAATTCTCACATTGGTGGCATTAAGACATTACCTACATTAACAAGATACTGGGAGAAAGGGTGAATAGAACGGTTGACTATGAATATCATCACCTAGGAGAAATAATTTTCAAGTTGATATTTATAGTGATTAAGCAATTGTCTGAGGTTTTGATCCTTCAAAGAGGTGCGAACATAAACTTTAAATCTGTGACTTGTCACACTGAAGACAGTTCTGTGACTGCAAGTGACATTGCTTTTATGTTAACAATCATCATATCTAAAGTTAGACTGGGATTTTTTTTAAGCTTGGGTATGCAGATTCCTTCTTCTCCCATAAAAATCCCAGATTTGCTGTATATTTGAGCTGACAGAGCTAAGCCAGTTGTCTGAGGCTGTTGTACAGTAAAATCGTTTTTCATTCTTGACAGTTGATTAACACAGCGAGCTCCCCAACCACCTGACCAGCTGATGGTTGAGAGAAATGCCATGTTTAACGCTCCTCTTTTGTCTTATTGCCTGTCTTTTTATGATGTGAAGAAAACAAAGAAATTTTAGCTCCTATCCCAAGGTCCCGTCAGTTATATTTGCATATCTCCATTTAAAGAAAATAAAATATCCCTGGTGAATGACTTGTTTTCAAAATAAAGAGAGGAGACTGCATGAGAAAAACTTTACATTGCAGAGACCTCTCTGAAGCATGATATACTGAGACTGGAGCAAAAAATGGCATTTAAGAGCCACAAGAGCTCAGTCTTTACCAAAGGCTCAGCTCAGAGTATAGTGCTCCTGTCCTTTTTATTCACTCAACTGAATTTATCGCTATGACCCATAAAACAGTCATCAGCACCTACAGGGCAAAGACACCCTGGTCTTCAGTTGGTACTTACCCCAGTTGCACGATTTAGCTGAGGTCTGTAAAGGTGTGTCTCCTCTCTTGCCACCCACAGGAAAGCTGCTGGGGCTTAGCTGCTCTGCTGCTTCATGAAGACTACCCAGTCAAGAAGGACATTACAGGATCATGCCCTTACTTCAGCATTTTGGACACGTCTCTGCAGAGAAAAGGCTGTATTTCACAACTATGATATCATACTCGTGGGCTATATTTCAGCATGAGCCACTATAAAACCTCTCCCATGACATCAGAGCTGTGAAATATAGCTGACTTCAAGTGCAGAAAATTCCCCCGCAGGAATAATTGTTTCCTGGCAATTGGCATTTGAAGGACTGATCCTTTAAAAGGCTGGCACAAATCCTGTCCAGGTGATGCTGCCCCAGGCAGCACGGCTCAGGAAACATTAGAGGCGGGAGCAGAGGTATGGAGCCCTGCTGCGGGATCTGACCGTAGGGGTAACGAGACGAGCACTGGGGGAGCCTGTCAAGTGATCATTTTCACTCCCTCACGCCTCAGCAATCCATGCAGACATCACTAATAGCAAAATAATAGCTTCACTCATGTGCTGTGCTCCCTGCCTCAGACCTTGCCTCCCCGACAAGGCGAGCCACGTGGGCACAGCCAGCAGGACCGTCTCATCCGTCTTTTGGCATCCGTGCTCCAAGCAGGGATCCTGCTGTTCTGTGGCAGCTGGCCAGGGCTGCCGCTGCCCGGGGCACTAATTACTCACCTGGGCAGGCCCCAGGTTCCCTGCAAAGCAACCTGGCAAGAAAGTGGAAGTTGAAAATATTGCGAGAGACATAATCACCTCTTTCGTATCACATCAGGGAAGATGCCCGCTGGAACAGACTCCTCTCAGAGCTGGGGCTTAGAGGGGTGGGTATTGGCAGAGCCGGAAAAGACAAGACCCTACACAGGTTAGAAGGGTACAGGAGGAGAGTAAGAGAGACTATAAATACTGGGAGAGAGTTAAAACCACCTCAGCTCCCCCTAGCCCGGTTCCTGAATCTGCCCATGTACCCCTGTAGCGGCCTGCACATTTATGTGCCGGCATCACCCCCTGAACTGCACTGGAGGCAATCGCAGAACACACCCTAAAGCTTAGTCATGGTGACCTTTTCTGTTCCTCCTCTATGAAGGTAATCTTGTGGTGGGCAGCAGGCCTGTTGTTGCTGCTACGTCTGTGTGTAGGTTTGTGTGTGCGTGCATGCTTACACGTATGTGAGTATGTATATGTCTTGTGTGCCTGTGTCTATCTCACAGGACTCAAAACCTTACATGGACACAGCTCTCGTGACCTTCAGGACAGAGTTGTTTTTACCTACAGAAAGTTCACTGTCATTAACGAGAGCTAACAAGAAACCTTCCCTCTACTCCCAAGGAAACTACAGCGCTTCAGAATTAATTGTACCATTTCCATTCTTCCTCTAAATGCTAAAAAACTGACTCCTTCTCACCCAGATGTTATCTTTTTACGGTATTTTAACTTGTGAAGCAGTAAAACAATGCTTGAACAGCCCTGTTCCATTACCTCCTATCCATCTAAAAGCTAAGTGGTATTTCTTTATAGAAAATGATTTACTAAGAAGAACTGTAAGAGACTTGAGGTTATTTTAAAAAATTTATTACTAAGAGCAGTGACAAACAGAAGAGTGGCTAACCTGAGGCATTGTAAATGCTTTAACTCCATCAGTGTAGCTCAAAGGCTAAATTCTGCCTGATTTACACCTTTAAAATAACAAACACATATAATATAGGGAAAAAATTGCCCCTTGGTATAGAATATGATTCAAGTAGCGTCGCGTGAAATGCTTACAAAATAAAACAAACAAAAAATTCTCTTTTCAACTTGGTATAGTCAGACTGTCATTCACATTCTTTATTTATAAATATTGAGAACTGCTCTTGAATTTTGAGCTGGTTCAGAATGACTTATGTTTTTTTGATCAGGATATTGAAAGAAATTACTTTTCTATTTGTGAAACCAAATGAAAATTAATCAAATGATCCTTCTCTGAGAACATGGATCTGTTTGGACTAAAAATTTGACAAAGTGTTTATGAAAAACACATGTTGTGGAAGGTTTCTGTCAACTAATTCTTATTTCTTCAGATTAGAAAATTTTCCAAAGCTGTTCATTAGGCACTTTGCACGATTTGTTACACATGATATCATTTCTTCCTCCTGAGTAGAACCTTTCAACTCCTTTAAAAACAGAAGAACTGTCCACACTACACTGTGGTACCGTGTGTATAGCTTTGAGAATCATCCAGTCTTCAGAGATAGGAATCAGTTTCATCATTTATTTTGAAGGTGCACAGATATTTAGTATTAATAATAGTAGGAAGGAGTAGCTAGTACAACCCTACAGGTGGAGATGAACTAGCTGAATTTTTTTATTTTTAGAAGTTATTAATCAAATAGAAGTTATTTAGAAGTTTAGAAGTTATATTTAGAAGTTATTAATCAAATCAAACAACAAAATTTATGTATATAACTATGTTTTTAAAGATCCAAAACTCAGTACAAAACTCTGGCAGTTAAGTAACTCAGGAAGCCAAAATGTCCACTTAACTTCCTACGCAGTATCAAACAGGTCTAGTATGTGGGAGATATTGGGAAATATGCACATTTATTTCACTAACCTGTTTACCTGACCTTTCCCAAATGAAGTCAAAGGCAAAGCTCCTTAAATGTGAGGGAAAAAATCTTGGAGTTATATAAGTCCAGGCTCTTCAGCCCATAACTATAGCAACAGAATGCCTCCTGGGAAGACAGTGTGCACTCTTGCTAGCCCTTCTTTGATGTAATAAGGTAACCTCATCAAGATCCCCAGTCAAAAACTAATCAGTTACATCCCAAAGTCCAGGCAGTAAAAAGCGAAAACCCTGGTTTGCCTTGGTCAATGAATCGAAGTAAATGGAGTTAAAGGGAAAAAAAAAAACAAAACACAAACCCAAACATCAGGACTCTTTCCTCCTACTCAGTATAGGTTCACTCAGCTTATATGAAGGACCACTTGCAATGTTTTGAACCAGAAACATCCCAGCTTTTCAAGACTCTTCTACTTGTTGGACCTATTTGTTGCAGTGATGAATGTTAAGTATCTTTGAAAATGCTTAAAAAGTTGTTATTTTTCTTTTCAGAGATCCTTTGAGACTGCAAAGACTATTTAAAAAAGGAAGACGGCATGAGACTGGATTCAGTGCAGTAAAGTAGGTTAGTTTGAGGACAAGAAAAAAAGTCATTATTTAGACCTTCTTGTGTTGCCGTGATGAGAACTTATCATTGCTTCTGGCTGCTGTTTTGGGCTGGTCAGCCCCACCAAAGTTTCTTAACTCCATTATCCAAAAGGACTAGTGGCTTTCCAGAAAAGGAAAAGGTTTTGGTATTGTCTGGAAACAGCAGGCGAGACCTCCATCGGTCCAAAAGGAGCTGGATGTGGAATCAGTTCTTTTTATTGGAGGAATACACAGGAACTGACTACCAATATGTTGGCAAGGTAAGATTCTTTCCTATGCATCTGTGTTTTGATTTTAGAAATGTTAGAAAGCCAGCAATAGCAAATAGGTAAGAACGGTGCCTACTACAACTTTCAGTTCACCTTCTTGTCTGCCCAGCTTCTGCTGAGGAGTAATTCAGTGGAAAGTTTAATACACTTCAGCTTCAAATTGTGATCAACAACAGGAAGTTCCTCATTTAACCAGCAAGTCCCATGGCCAATCATGCACAATTATGTTAAATATTTTCCTTTTAGATTTTGTCTGGAAATAATGCAGCTTAATCATAGGGTTGTCTAGGCAAGATTTTTAGCTTTAAAATGTAATCTGCATTTTCCCTCATGATTGTTAATTTTACTAGAGTCAAACTACATAAGCCAGAAGAATTTTTGGTCCAAAATATTTAGGATTCACAGCACCCGTATTTTGGTGAGGATTCTCTCTATCCAGCAAAAAGCAACCATTTCCCTTTTTATTCCCCGCTGCACACAACAATGCTGCAGCCATTTTCTCATGAGGTTCTGTGGTGCCATTTAGGACTCTGTGACATTACCATAATACCACAAACCATGCTATTACAAAGAGTTGAAGCACACTGTGCTTATATACTAAGAAGCAACAGGCAGCTGAAAGTTTCTAAATTCAAAGCATGCTGACAGTTAGAAAAGGGTCTGTAAAAAATAATAATAATTTAAAAATAATAAAAATCACAGCTTAGGTTGGAGAATGTCCACCTCCCTGAGCAGCATACCCCCACATAGGTAACAACCTTTCTGTGAATTGTACCTGTGGTAAGTCTAGAGAGAGTCTACACTGCCCAAGATGCCATAGTCTGTAGGAGCCTCTCTTGCAGAATGCAGAAATTATGCTATTGATGATGACATTCGAAGTAGAAACAATACAGCTTATTTTTCCAAACTGAAACGGGACTGTGTCTGATCTAGTTTGATCTCTCAAGCCTCTTAGCAAAGGCTACAGATCACAGCGGTTTGACATTTTATCTCCCTTTGCAAGCTTCTGAGCATTCCCATGAGAGATGGTGGCTGCTTTTCTTGCCTGCCAATCAGCTGTCAGTCAAAGCCGGGTGCAACACTCCTTTCCTGCTAAATGGCTGCAAGGCATGATTCAAATGAAGAGCGACTCGGCTGGTGTAATACTCATAGAGCTCTGACCAGGATAATCAGCATTCATGAAGGGTACCATGGAGCCCAATCTACAGGAAAAAGCCAAAGGCAGAGAGTCCTCTGAGAGGAGAAGTAGAGAGGGAAAATAAGAGGGTAAGAAAAAAAAGCCAGAAGAGAGTAAGAGGGAAGAACTAGAAAGACAGAGGTGGATGGAAAGGAAACTTTACAAAGAGAAATCAAGATAGAGGAGAGGAAAGAGACATCAAATGGGGGTAGAGGATAGGAGTCAAGAGGAAAAGGTTACCTAAAGAGAGCACAAATAAAAACAGAAGATGAGACAGTGAAGGGCAGCGGGGGGCGAGGAAGAAAACAAGAAAACACACACCAACAAGGTAAGAAATATGGAGTCCTGGGAAAAAAAAAAAAAGGTGAAAACAAAAGACAGAGCATTCCTTCACACACTCTCCTACTTCACACCCTACTCAGGGGAGGCCAGGGTAATGGGAATCTATCTCTCCAAATATAAATCATGTGGTGCTGAGGTGAGTCCTACAGATTGTCATTTTCACTGTGAATTTTGACATTATACCTGCTCAGCCTCAAGTCCCCCATTCTCTCCACTGCGGAATTTGAGTAGAAGCTGTTGGCTTCAGAGGGACTGATAGGGGAGTGAATATTCCTGCAGGACAAGTTTCCTGAGAAACAGTTCAAAAATCGTCTAGTTGGGCCAGAAAACAAAGAAAGTTTGAACTGGAGTCGATGAGAGAGAAAAAAAATGTGGATGTGTGGATGTTATTTTAAAAAGTTGTTCTTCTGTTTATTGGTACTTTACTATACTTATAAAGCATAGAAATGACACATAAAGTATAAATGTCATTGATTCTGTGTCCCTGGGCTGTTCACAAGTGGCCTTTCACACGCCTTTCAAATGCCAGAACTGCTCACACCCTTGTAATTGAACAATTAGCCAAGAGGCATGGAAGAGCAGCCATTTATGATTAGAGAAAGTTGAGTATTGGTGTGAGGATAAATGGTAGAAACAGCTGAATGTCTCCAAATTGAGGTAACCAGGCAATTTAACTGAGCAATTAAACTTGATTGGTGTGAGCAAATGAGGATAATGAACATGTTTATGAAGCATATTTTTTTCTCAGAGGACTAAATGTTAACCTTAAGCATGAACTGAAAATGGTAAGAATATTTGATTATAATCTTTTTATTCTCTCATATCGTAAATAAATATGAACAGGACAATCATTTAGAACAATTTTTATGTAAAGGGGAATTGTGCTTATGCCTTGCTGTATAAGCAGTCAGACCTGGATCTTCTGAGGTTTTGTGTTTAGCAGTTAAAACTGGTGGGCATTAAAATCATAATTATAAAAAAAGTTATTCCATATAAACTACAAGAAAAAAAATGTGTTACTCAGACTGGTTTTACTTTTGTCTTTTTTGTTTGTTAACATCTGTTTAATTTAAATATCTATGTCAAAATTTGAGATATAAGAAGATATAATGAAAGATTCTAAGAAACAGCATTATTTCTATAAACTGCCAAAATTACAGTTGTAAAATCCTGTAATAATTTACACTGCAAAACCCACATTTGGATCATAATAGTTTTAGAGAGAAGGGGAAGAAAACTGAAGGGGAATGCATTCAGGTTTGAGATAATAAAAAAGAAAGGTAATCTCTCTGAAGGTAGAGCTCAAGGCGGTGCTTGAAGCACGACCCGAGCTACGGACCCCAGCACTACTGTGCTCCATACTCTGTTTACTCTATATCCAGTGAACCCTAGTGCTTTCCATCCTTTAGGAGATGATTGTCTAACCACAGGCAAAATAAAGTAGCCCTTTTTTGGAACCTATGGGTACGGTCAGCTATTAAAAATTGCTCCCCGGTTTTGTATGCTACACACTTTACTGTCAGCCCAGATATGATGTTGTATCACACTGGACAAGAACATGTGGCTGCCAACAAGAAGCTCTCAGCCTTAGCAATACAAGCCGGTTGTGTCCTGTGGCTCAGACACCAGATCCACCATTTTACTGTGCAGTTCTTGCATTTCTGAATTTTGTTCCTGTATAGTCACGAAATAAAACCTTTTAAAAAGGCTAGAAATTCACACCTCCAGGCTTGGTTAGTCTCAGACATAATAATAAAAGGAACTTGCAGAAAAGTTCTAGACCAGAATTATTCATTGCACTGCTGAGTAACTTGTGAACTACAGCTATTCACTGAAGTGTGATTGATGGGCACAGTGACATTTTAACCTGAAGATATCTTTTCTTCTGGTTCAGAAATTATGGCACTTGGCAGGGACTCAATCCCAAAATAAAATAAAAGGATTACATGAACATCAAAGTAGAGAAGTGCCCAGGACTACTGCCTAGCCAAAATCTGCAACATTTGAGTTGGGTTTTAAAAGTGATCTAGTTGTACCTGTGGCTGCTTAGTGCAATTTTAAAGGGCTGGGGTGAATGTGTCTCTAAATCACAGGTAAACGATGAAGTGGTAACGCAGCTGTATACAGAAATATACGCTGCTTTCCCTAGAGGTCTTCAGATATTCCTGGGCAAAAGAGTGAAAAAAATCTGCCCTGTTCCAATATTATACTCAAAGGTATAGTTACCATTTGTATGCTACCTGATATCTTTGCACAGCTGTCCCATTGGCTACATAAAGTCCATCTACTGGCATCCATCACTGAGTGGTCTTGTCAGAGCACAAACCTACAAATCACTGTCACATAAAGGGGTAGGATACCCCTTTCTTTTACACTAAAGAAAGATCTGAACAAGTCTTAAATCTTACTCATTAACCCAGAAACAGCTTCTGGCAGCCTTCAGTGGAAAGGAGCAACTTGCTTTCCTGATAACAACAGGCACAACTGGGGAACAGTTTTGTCACACTCTGTCTGTCTGGCACTAAAATGAAACTTCCAGACATACTTTTCATTTTTGCTGTGTCTTATTGATGTTTATGTAGTTCAAGCAGTGTGCTCGCCTGGAAGCTATCTGATGTTACTACCTGTACAACCCTTCATAAACAATCATCCTCTGCTGACAACCACATTTTTCAAGGAAGATAAAGTCAAAGTCCTGTTGCTATGTGGCTTGGCAAAGCAGAAAGTATGCTGTATGACTCTAGCCAAAACCAGAATCCTTCTGTTTGGTGTTGAAAGAACCACCGAGAAAGATAACTTACCCTCTGTCAGGAATGGTTTAAGATACCGTTGATTCTACTTTGGAGGAGGAGGGAATGAACTAAATGATATCACAATATAGTTTCATGTTTTGCCTGATTTTACTTCTGGCTACGACTATTCTGAAGGTAAGCAGAACCATCCCTTGCAGTGTATTTCACCAGAAGCAAATCAAACAAAAGGTAGAATCACTCCAAACCATGGCAAGTAGTGAGACTAAGTCACACACTAAGGCAAAAATATCTAGCTAGGGGATATTTAAACAAGGAAAATTACTGTTGTGTAATACAGTCCATGTGTTTTTAGCATTTGAGGCAGTAATGGGTCACGTTACTCCAATGGTTAAAAGGTATCATATCTTAATTTGATGACGTGATAACTAGCAGGATAAACACTCACTTTCAGATCTTTAGTACACTAGCATTCTGTACTTACCATCAAAACTTTTGTTCCCCCCAAAAACAAGATGTGAAAAGTCATACTAAAATGACTCTTCCCATTTGCACTTTAAACATCCTTTATGCAGTTCTATTGGGAAACACTTGCTCAGTATTTTTTTTTACCTTGTAACTCACACTGTGATATAGACCTGATGCCTTCAGTTTCCTGTTCCAAATACAGTGACTATTTGTTTTCTTTACAAGGCCTAAAATTAAAAGTTCCACTTGTGATG